GGTGACTTTAAGAGCATCTCCTTTTCAGTTTCCTGTGCCAAGACCTGAAGAAAAAAATGCAGAGTGTGGGGGCTGACCTTGCTGCTGCAGGCTAGCGTAGATCGAGGAGGCAGTGGCTGCGGGAATATGTTTTCATCATGAACTCTTCAAACTGAACTATATGTTCCCTAAAAACCAAAGGATTGGAAGCTTAAACTCGTATTTTCTGGACCTTTTTCAGAAAGAGGGCAATAATTTTGTTGCTCTTTTAAATTAAGTTAAATTACTTCATTGTGTGATGCTAGTTAAATATGTTATATCCAGTGCAGTGAAAACTTATTGTACCGGCATATCATAACAAAGCTTAACCAACCTTATTTTAGAACCCTATATGCAGCACTGACGCAGGTCAGAAGAATTTAAAACAAGGTAGCAAGTGTTAAACAGGAACAGAATATACATGTGGGGTTCCTTCCGAGTGGTTCCACTTCTCCACAAGGCTAATTATCCTGCAGTTGGTTGAAAGAGCGATCCTCAACTCTGGGATTTCAGTACTAACAGAACCTCAAAATCAGGACTGCCAAAAAACTACCTGTGTGGCGTATCATTCATGTAGAACATGGGAGGACTCGTGTCCAAACATACAACATGAAACTGGTTGCTATCTGCACAAGTTAACCTAGCAAAGGATTCAGAATCACAATTCTTGATGGCCTCCTCCATTTTCAATATGCGACTTGGCACTACAGTGTGGAATACAAGAAAAAGTAGTGCAGTGCAGAGTGAGAGCAAGAAACAGTAAGCTGCAGCTAAAGAGATAAATGGCCAAAAGACTTTTAAAAAATTGAAACAACAAAACTTGAGGGTCCACACAAGAGGAGGGTATTTTGTTTCCTTGATGATTCGTAAAAAAAATTGTACTATATGTGCCAAAAACAAGTTAAAGATGAAAATGCAATCACCTGGGCCCTGTACTGCAAGAGGGGGCTTGTTTCAATAGTGTCCCGCATCCCACTGGTGCTACTGGTTTCCTTCTGCTTTGAACTGACCTAATTCCACAAAGCAACATAATAAGAGAAAGATGTTGGGATAAAAATGGTAAAACGGTGTCACTATATAGTTAAGGATTGGTGTTAATGGAACCATGACTCGATGAGCAATATCTGTTATACAACAGAGATCACATTGACATACCACTGCTATGATTATAACAAGATCATCCCAATGCGATTCGTCAACAAGCTGTACTGCCATACTGTCACTTCCATCATCATTCTACAAGTATAGGGTCAAACTCAATCGTTTTACAATAGAAAAACATGCATATTAACCAATTCAATTTCTCTGCCTTAACCAAGAGAAAACTTACTTTTCCCATACACCATTTCACAAATCCACCGTATATACTGCGGCATGCACTTCCAGACCCCTGCCTGCATTGAAATTTGTCAGCCCGAGAGAAGTATAACTAAAGAGAGGACATAAGTATACAGAGTAAGATGAAGTAAAATTGCTGTTATATCATGAAGCAAACATCATGAACAGGATAGTGCACAAACAGAGTGTTGCTACATAATGTATCAGTACAGAGTACAGACCTTGCTATTGACAGATGCTATTGGACCAAACGCAGGCAGCCACAATAGCCAAAGCATTCCAGTCTCGCGTTGAGAGGAAGAAACGGGCGGGCAGGCAGGTACCTGCACTTGCCGGTGCGCGGCGGCGAGGGCCCTGGAGAGCGGCAGCACCCGCTTGATCTGCGCCTGCATCTGCTCCTTGCGGCGCTCTACGCCCTCGGTGGCCCTCCGCCTGGCGACGAGGAGCTCGTCCGCGCGCGCCCGCCGCCTCAGCTCGTCCAGGGCCGCGCCCTGCCGCACCGACTCCCTCCTCACCTGCTCGAGCGCGGCCTCGAGGCGGCGCGCCAGGTGTGCCCGTTCCTCCGGCGATGTAGAGGAGGGTGGAGGTGGCTGAGCGGGTGATAGTGGAAGGCGGGGGGCGGCGGCGGCGGAGCGGGGAGATTGGGGCGGCGTTGCATCGCTAGACGAGGGAGATAGGGCGGCCGCATCGGGTGGATCGAGAGACGGATGGTGGCGTATGTTTTTTTTTTGGTTTTGCACGGGGTGGTGGGAGGTGGGCGAAGGTTAACCGATGAAAAAAAAAACCGGATGAAAGTGGTGGGACAAAAATTGACCGGCGGAAACTACCAACTGCTCCATTAGGAGTAGAGATAAATTTCCTTTTTTGTTTGGGCAGTGCAAGGTGTTGGTCGACCGGCGCCAACCCAGATCAGTCCCCTCCCCAATCGTACGATGTGCCTGCCTCTAGACATATAATCCAGCCTCACATGCTCTCTCCTCGTATATGACTTCTGCCTGGCACGCCCCATTCACACACAAAAAATGTCGCATGTCACAAACTTGATAGAGGTGAGTATCGTCAGGGCATAATGAGCTGCCACCGGGAGGACGCAGTCCACTACTGCTGGGCACCTTTCTGACTGCGTCATTTAGAGCTGTGTCGTCGGGGGACACGGCACTAGGCTTGGTTGTCTACTACATGGTGCTCACAGGGTGTTTGTTGAAATGGTAGTTTGAGGCTAATGGCGACGAGTGCAAACTGACAAGCACCCGCAATGTCGATGGTGATTGCAAACACAGCGTGCCTCAAACTCTCAATGCTATGCTGTGACAATTTTCTAATTATTATGTGCACCGCTATATTGCAAATACAAATTCGTCTAAGGACCAAGCAATGTTTTAATCTAGATCATGCCATTGTTTTAACCTTTGTTCGGTTAAAAAATTGCACCGTTGCAAAAGTTGCAATTTAATCTCACCACCTCAATAAGAAAAACTCATCATATTTTTTATCCATTACTCATCCATCAAACCAAACACATTCATGGCTATCTCCAACCATTTATCATCCTACCCAACCAAATAAAAAAAGAGGCTATACCTAGCTAGGTGGTTGGGGATACCCCACACAACCATCCTAACATATCCATGAACCAAACACATTCTTAATGAAGACTTATGGGAAGGCTTAGATATGATTTTTTTTAGCCTCCCCGCTCCACACCCAACACTCATATTTTGTCTTTGCCCATCCATGAATAGATTTTGTCTAGCTCCGCCACTGCATACTATTATAATTTATCAAAAGAATGTATTAATAAGTTTAATTTTACAACTCATATTCTGTCTCGGCCCTAGAAATTATCAATAAGTACATAATTTACGAAAAGGACTTATCAATAAGTTCAGTTTTACAACAATTCTATAATAAATAAAAACAATTCTACAATAAAAAATGTTTTATCAATTGTGAGTTTGAATGAAACCATAATAATCATTAATCGGTCAGCTCAATTTATCATTTTTGAGTTTTAATTTGCACTCAAACTTATTCAAGCCTTGAAGGCAAAATCATACTCTAAACTGAAGAAGAAAAATCTACAAAAGCAACACCGTGAGGCTATGATCGGTCAGCTCAATTTATTATTTTTGAGTTTTAATTTGCACTCAAACTTATTCAAGCCTTGAAGGCAAAATCATACTCTAAACTGAAGAAGAAAAATCTACAAAAGCAACACCATGAGGCTATGATCCTTGGCTTGGCCTGAAAGAGAGCTTCACATGGCAGCCTACCTCCTCCTGTAGTTGAATTACTCATTCATTTCTTGGCTACAAATTTCCAAAGGTAATTGATTAGTTAGACACGCATCTCAATGCGGTTGATTTGTTGGCTCCACAATTTTAAGTTCAATTGATTTCTTGGAGAATCATCCCACCGTTGATGTGTACTACTAGTACTACCTCCATCCTGGTTTATTATTCCCTTTATAATTTGTGCTAAATTTTGATCAAAGATTTAACTGATAAAATGTTAGTGCATATTAAAAAAAGTTATATCGTTGAATTCGTATTTAAACATAGTTTTGAATGATATAATTTTTATGACATGCATGAATATTTTGTTAGTTAAATTTATGATCAAAATTTGGCACAGATTACAATAAGGATCAATAACCCAGGACGACAGAGGTAGTACTACCTCATTTTCCATTTCTATTTATTTAAGGAGAGGAGTGTCCAAGGAGAGAATCGGAAACATGGGAGGAGTGGGCGTCGGTATAACTCCACCAAGCGTCCAAGCGAAGGACCGACCCATCAAGACACCACTTCGTTCCATAACGCATAATTCTCGATTGAAGCTCGCAGCCATGTACATGTCCTCAATGATTTGGTATCGATGGGGATGAAAATGATTCGGGGAAAGCACGTACCTTGGCCATGCCGGCCTGCCGGCCTCTTTTTCAGGTCTGCATTTTATTTATTTTAATTTTCGGTTTTGACGGAAACGATACGAGTGAGCCGCGGGATCATCGGGCGGCATTTTCTGTTTTAAATTTCTCACAGCCACGTTAGATTAGTTGCAGACCATAATTCCAGGTCTTACAGCCAGTGACATGAAACTCAACACATTATTTTTTTCTGCGGGGTAAAAGGAGATTTCATTACTTAAGGAGGCATATCAGCCTTCGAAAGGTTTACAACAAAGTCCAGCCCCAAGCAGTCGAGCACAGCCAAACTGCAGTGCGGGGTGTAGCACGTCCATACGCGGCAAGCGCATGACTAACCTTATTCTGCGAATGACTAATAAGAGTAAAAAAAAATCTCCCTACGAGCATCTTGTGCTAGTCTTCGAATCTCCTCAACGAGCATACGGTACTGCGATCTATCTCCAGTACGTGCTAGCAGCATAGACGCCGCTTTGGCACAGTCGAGCTCAACCATAATGGGCGGGTTCGTACGGTAAAGCGCAAGCTCCAGGCCCTCTCTCTGCACGCAGCCAGCTCTGCCCCAAGGCCATTATCGCATGTAAGGAGCTGTCTACAAGCAGTATAGATGATGGTGTCTCTATCATCACGAAGAATCATACCACCCCCTGCCTCTCCGGTTGGAGGGACATGGCTGCCATCTGTATTGAGCCTAGCCCACCCCGGTGGAGGAGGGGTTCAATGCAACTCCGGCTTGGGCACTTCCCTTGTGTGTATAACCGGGAGGCTATCATGCACCACCATTTTCCCTTTCTCCAAGTCGCCATGAGGGTGTTGATGGATATAAAGCAGAGAGGTGATGTACCCATGGAGGAAACGGCGAGATGCTTTTGTTGGGGGAGGCGCCTTATCATGTGTGATCTCATTCCGCACATACCAAGCTCTCCACATGGTCATAAGGACAACCATACGCGCCGTTTCTGACAGCGGCTCAAGGAGGGAGAGTAGCCACTCTGAACCATTGTTGCATATAGTGTCCACCTCCGGGATTGGCCAATCCAAGGCCATGACATGCCACGGTTCATGAGCCAATGGGCACCTGTAGAACACATGGAACCCGTTCTCACGTTCCATACCACATAGGGGGCATATGTTAGTAAGCGCCAGATGGCGAGAAAATTTGTTGACCCAAGTAGCAAGCGAGTTGGACACAACTCTCCAAGCAAACACACGTACCTTAGGGGGAGCAGGGCACCCCCATATGATCTTTCAGATGGTGCGATGACCATCTGGTGCCCTCTGCTCGTGGCTGTCGCAGATGAACGTTCGCGCTCGTCCATGGCAAGGCGGTAGGTGGAGCGAATGGTAAAGATACCATTCTTCTCCGGGCTCCAGGCGATCATGTTGTCGGTGATGCGGGTCGACATGCGGATGCTGGTCATGATATGCACGTCTGCCGGTAGGAAGTGGCGTTGTAGGAGGTCCAGCCGCCAAGCACCAGACGCATCAAGGAGCTCTGGCACTCGTCGAATCCTGCATGTTCCTTGCTGCATGATCGGGCGCCCAGTCGGCTGCATGGGCAGCCAACGGTCCCGCCAGATCCTGATGCTTTATCCATCACCCACGCGCCAGACTAGACCCTTTATCAAGAGCTCAAGCCCATACTGGATGGCCTGCCAAGTGGGGGATGCATTCCCGGGGAAGATCGTGTTCTCAAGACACCCCTCGGACAGTATTTGGCTTCCAGTACCTGCGCACATAGATTGTTAGAATTGATTAAGAGCCTCCAGGTCTGTCTGGCAAGTAAGGCTTGGTTAAAGAGAAACTCAACACATTATATTATTATTAGTCCGCCCATAATTCAATGTTTTCATGAGCCTAGCTGGCAACGAGCTGATCAGGTAGACCGAGCATGAAAATCACGAGCTTCTCGTCTCGGTGTACCTTCTAAGCACCATGGGTTGTCAGGTCATGGCCGGCGGCTCCTGATATGAAGTAAGAAGGCAAAGACGGCCATCATCTATGGCAGCGGGGGCCAGTAATGTTTGTAGTGCATGCCACAATCTTGTACTCGGTCGTGTCTTCGACCACGGTAGGGGCACCACCGATCAACCGCTCTCCTTGGTGGCATACATTTTCTTACCGTTGGAGGTGATGATAGATCTGCTAGAAGAAAACAAACACCCGATCGACTTCTGAAACGGCAAACATGCGACAAAATAGGCCAGCGTCGAGGCCTACAGTTTACCATCACATAACTCGATTTATAACCAGATCTTCCGTCTGATATGCGAGGCAAACACCACTATTAGCCGTTCAAATTGCCAAGAAAGAGTTCAATGCCAGTTACTCCTATCTCTGATCGAGTTCATGTGTATATCCCATGGAGTAGTTGACCTTGGGACATTCTCTAGTTTGTGCAAGTTAAAAGAATAGGCACTGTTCATGAAGAAAACCGAAACATGTCTAGGTCACGTACCATTACTGTGGCATACTACATCATTACCGTGGGTTTCTCGGTGATGCTTTGAACTCGCTTTTCCCTTTCTACATTTTTCTTGTTGTCGTCTGAACTGTTGTATTTTCGTTATGCAAGTAAGGGGTTATGCCGGGTTGAAAAAAAAAACTCGTTATGCAGCACGCGCAGACGCACGTACGCCAGCCGCGGCGTCGCATTTCCACAGCCATACCATGCACGCACGCACTATATATAAGAGCCTAGCTAGCTAGTTCAGTTCATCCCAGCCACCCAAGCCGCGCACACACCTCGCCGGGGAGCTAGCTAGGAATAGGATTCGGCTCTTCGTGTCCACCACTAGATCGCGGCCGGACAGACATGGCCGGAGGCAGCGCAATGCAGGCGGTGCTGGCGGCCCCCGGTGTGAAGGGCCGGAAGGTGCGCGCGTTCAAGGGCAGCGAGAAGGACGCCGTTGCCGGCGTCGTGCGCTCCATCGCTGGCACCGAGGAGCAGGGCGCCTTCTTCGTCTTTGACCTCGCCAAGGTCGTCGACCTGTACAGCGGCTGGTGCCGCGCGCTGGACGGCGTGCGGCCCTACTACGCCGTCAAGTGCAACCCCGAGCCGGCGATGCTGGGCGCGATGGCGACTCTCGGCGCGGGATTCGACTGCGCCAGCCGCGCCGAGATCGAGGCCGTCCTCGCGCTCGGCGTCGTCGGGCCTGGGAGCATCGTGTACGCGAACCCGTGCAAGCCCGAGGCGCACCTCAGGTACGCGGCCGAGGTGGGCGTCAACCTCGCCACCTACGACACCGAGGACGAGGTGGCCAAGGTGAAGCGCTGCCACCCGGGCTGCGACCTCCTCCTCCGCATCAAGGGCCCCGACAACCCGGACGCCAAGATCGACCTCGGCACCAAGTACGGCGCGCGCGCCGACGAGGTGGTCCCGCTCCTGCGGGCCGCGCAGAGCGCGGGGCTCCGCGTCGCCGGCGTGGCGTTCCACGTCGGGGCGTGCACGTCCCGCGTCGACGTGTACCGCGGCGCGATCGAGGCCGCTCGCGCGGCGTTCGACGCGGCCGCGCAGCTCGGCATGCCGCCCATGCGCGTGCTCGACATCGGCGGCGGATTCATGCCGGACGCCACGTTCGAGGGGGCGGCGGAGGCCATCGGCGACGCGCTCGCGCAGCACTTCCCGCGCGGGTGCAGCGTGGAGATGATCGGCGAGCCGGGGCAGTACTTCGCCGAGACGGCATTCACGCTCGCGGCGCGGGTCATCGGCAGGCGCACGCGCGGCGAGGTGCGCCAGTACTGGATCGACGACGGCATCTACGGCGCCCTCAGCTGCACCATCCTGGGCGACTACGTGCCGCGCCCCAGGCCGCTCGCCGCCCAGCTTCCGCCCGGCGGCGAGAAGAAGTACGCGTCGACGGTGTTCGGGCCGACGTGCGACTCCCGCGACAAGGTGGTGAGCGGGTACCAGCTGCCGGAGATGCAGATGGGGGACTGGCTCGTGTTCGACGGCATAGGCGCCTACGCCGCCTCGTCGGGCTCCAACTTCAACGGATTCTTGATCTCGGACATAAAGACGCATTTGGCCTACTCCACCTAGCTCCCGACGTCCAGCTAGGGAGGTACATGCACATGCACATGCATGCATGGGCACGCCCGAAATCCTTGCCGTCGATTGGTGTTTGTATATTGCACATGCATGTTCCTTTCTCCTTTGTTTTTTTTTGGGTATTTTTTGCATGAATAACGCGCGGGTCTTTCTTCTCGACAAGCTGTACTTGTTGTATTCCCACACATAGAAAGAAAATTTGTACTCCCACACACACAAAAAAGAAAAATTGTACTCCATCCAGATATAGACATAGTAATCTCATCTTATTGTATTGCACACGCGTGCCGAGTTATGTAACAGGTCCTATGTATTTTACGACTGCAAGTATCAAACCGAACATTTATGCCAAGCATCAAACCGAACATTTATGCCAAGTATCAGCACAATTGAGCGGGTATTGATCTGGGACACGTTTGGTTCAGAAATTGGTAACACGGACGGTAACAAAATCAGAATGCGCTCATAACGGAAACAGAAAGAGAAAAGGTGGACTTTGTTTGGTTTGTCCACGCAACGGTATGCATTGGGTTCAATTACACAAATTGGAGAAATGTTATCTGAAGAACAAGCCTTGCAAGCAATGGACTCAAATTTAAGAAATTTATAAATTGAACCTTTTCCGTTGCTTCCACTCCGCCATGCAGTTCATGGACCGGCCCTCCTCGTCATTGTCGGAGTCCCTCTATGGTTGGCCGTTGACATTGTCACCAGGGTTCCCTTGCTGCATCTCCCTCCCCTTCGATCCGAATCCGCCGACCTCCCCACAACCACTATGTGTATCTGCTGGTGCTCTCCGCCGTATATTGCGACCCCATGGCTGTCGTGCCATCCTCTTGCACTGCCACCAAACTGCTGAAATGCAGCAGCGATTAGCGAGACTTTGTTTTAGCCTTTTTATTTTGTATGTTGCACCCGAAGCTTTTTCGTTGTTTTTGTTCCATTAGCTCTTTATAGAATCTGATCCATTTTTTGGATAGATTGGATAAGAAAATCCCACTAAAAGAGAGCTGGACTAAAACCAACCACACCTTATAGATTATTGCAAACTCAAGAATGGTTGAACAAGGTGGAGTTCTTGGTTTCAAACCAACATTGTAATCTTTTTAAGATTGTAGAAATGGTTTGCGTCATCGAGGTATTTTTATCTAAAAACTGTGTGGTTTTCATCTTTGAACCTTATATGTATAGTTTTATTTGTGGCATCTTTTCATCCATTTCATTCTTCCATCTTCGTTAATCACTTACCATCTTGTACTATATTATGCAGATCTGCCACCGATGATTTTGAGGAAGCTATGAGTTTCTATGATTGAGAATTCAGCGGCAGATTATGCAAAGAAGTAAAGACTGGATATGAACTTACCCAGTTGATGCACCACGACATGCTAAACCTCGCCGGCTTCTTGATTGCCAGCCACATAATGGAGGGAAGCTGCATACAAATAAGTTATAGTCCTCCAGTTAATTAAGGAAACAAACTGGTTCATCATGTGATTTACTACTATAGATGAAGCTAACTAGTAAAACTAGTATATAGTTCCCTAGATTAAAAGAAGTACAGAGAAAAGCTTAGGTTGAATCTTACGAAGTGTAGGTTGTTGGGGCAAATGCAAAACCACCAAAGAACCCTAGTAGCCCACCGAAGAAGGGGATGGCAACACCGACGAGCATGGTGAGTGCTGAACGAACGGATCATATCATCAGAGTAAACATGATGGATCTTGGTCTTATTACGGGTGGCATTTTTACTACTATATCACATAGTTGTCACCTACTCTTACCACCATTGCTACATATATGTTGAAGATTTTATTATTACGACTTCTTAACTTGTGACTCTCTTCGTTCACGCAGAGAGGTTTATTAACTCTGTTGTTATATGTTGGCAGAGAGGTTGCTTGCAGTGAACAACCTAGGATCTCGGAAGCATAGGCCCCACACAATTTATGCAACTGGTCCACCAACCCAAGGGCTTCAAAACGGTAGTGTAGGGGAACCTGGGAAGGTCTCAGGATAGATGCAACATGTTAGGCCACCGTCGACGGCACCTGTTGGTGAATACCCTCGCATGTTGATGTTTCTGTCGATACCTGTGATGTGACCATTCATTCAAAGAGAAGAAGAATGACACACTAGTAGAAAACAGGCCTATTGTCCCGGTTCGTAAGGGCCTTTTGTCCTGGTTCTTGAACCGGGACTAAAGGGTCGTTACTAATGCCCTATCCCTTTAGGCCCGGTTCAGTCCAGAACCAGGACAGATGGGCCTCCACGTGGCCTATGCGCGGAGCCCAGGTAGGAGGGCCTTTGGTCCCGATTGGTGGCACCAACCGGGACCAATAGGCATCCACGCGTCAGCATTTCTGTGGCTGGGTTTTTT